AATCTATGGTGATCCTAAAAAGAACCGTTTTGTCGTATTGGTTAAGTAATGCTGAGCTATTAGGGTGTTGAACACGGATGAGGCTGACGAGCTGTATGTTGTTTGGAACGAGGGTGACGTGCTTGGCATAGATGACCCACAGAGACTCACGAGGATGGATTCCGATCAGTAGCGGTGAGGCTTCTTCCTCCTTCCTCCAGATTTTGAAATCTGTGTTAGAGAAAGCGCTGTTTGCAGGCATTCTGTGATAATTTTGATCACCATTGCAACAGTTAAACATTTGTGCATTTTTTTTTAATAATCAACTATTGAAAATTAATTAAGTGTTAAATTAAATTAAATTTCTAATCGATTGGCTTGTTAAGAATAAAAATGCATCCGTTATTGACAGAATTATATGTGGTCAAAATCTGACCACTTTTCGTAATGCGGTCATTTTTTTTTTTAAATTGCACCCCCAACGTGTTGCCAAAAGACGTAATCCTACGTCAAAAAAATGGATGTCAAAAATGTGGTCCGCAACGGCAATTTATCGGGAAAAAATACATTCAAAGTGTTTTTAAGTTACTTCTTATGCGAAGTTTGCAATTTTCAGAGTTTGTTGGAAATGCTATCTAACATGAAGCTTTAGTGTGATAATTTATTAGCTAGAGAATGGTCTTTAGGAGAGGATAGGTAGATAGTTCCGTTAGAGTACGGCAGTATGAAAATTGAATAGAAGTTGAAAATAAGCGAAGGGTCATTAATGCGACAGTACAAAGTCAAACGCACACCTTTTGCCTAACCCGTACGATGTACACGGAGATTTGAAGTATGTCTTCAAATCTACAGGCAAAAAATGTGCGCGCGCCTTTGCTCATTACTGTCTGCGGCTGTGGAATAGTTCTAGCGACGTTTCATCACTACCTAAAGCCCCACGTTGCCGAAAGCATTTCCAGTCGATGGTGTGTTATAATCCAATTCGACAGTGAGCATGCATAAGGGTCTATACGCGATGATCGATTCTCTTCGTCGATTTTCTCTTTTGTTAATAAATCGCTAGATTTAACGTTTCTCGGTGCGTTTGCTGTTGCTTTTTATAGCCAATACAACCTGTTACTACTCTGCATTGAACAAATTCTAGAAAATTGTTTCGCTTAGCTGTAGCAATGCAAAGAGAAAATCGATGAAGAGAATCGATCATCGCGTATTCGCCCTTATGCATGCTCACTGTCGAATTCTTCTTTACCCAACTATTGTGTTGCTCCTCTCGTCATGACCAACGTAGTCATTTAAGAGAGAAAGCAGTAGGGTGGTTGTTGCGTGCTGTACCATCATCAGCATTGTTGACGGCTACTCCCGCCTTAAGTTGTTACATTCAAAGTGTTTTTTTATGTTACTTCATACGCGAAGTTTGCGATTTTCAGAGTTGGTTGGAAATGCTATCTAACATGAAGCTTTAGTGTGATAATTTATTAGCTAGAGAATGATCGTAGAAGAGGGTAGGTGGATAGTTCCGTTAAAGTACGGCAGTATGGAAATTGAATAGAAGTTGAAAATAAGCGATGGGCCATTAATGCGACAATAGTGTTTTTTGTGCTGAGATTTGTCATTGACAGACTTTGGCACGATATTGATAAAAAAAATCACATAGTCACGGCAGACTTGATCCTCAAAAAAAAAACATTTGTTAAAATCTCCTTAATTTTTTCGTCAATGACAAAGATTCACCTGGTAACAAAAAGTGTAATTTCGTGCATTCTGAATCACTTTATTGTTACTCAAGCAGTTCAGGACGTAGATGCTAGTTCACTTTGACGGCTCCATGTGATTGTCTTGCTCAAGTCATTTAATTTCGTTACAAATTTAGATAGTAAAAAATCTACCCATTTTCGTCACTGACAGCATTTTCATTGACAGTTGACAAAGTTTGCGTTGACGATGACTGTTAGTTCAAATGAGAGAGCAAAGCAGAATTGGTAATATCACCGTGGCTTTAAATGAGGGTGCCCCTAAAAAAATCCGTTTGTTTTTCTATTTGTTTTTATTTTTTACTAGCTCGGGATTCAATATTAGCTTGAGTTTATGCGCCCCCCCTTACAGAGGAGAACCCCTGCATATTAATTTTCACGCCGATCGGTTCAGTAGTTTCCGAGTCTATAATGGTCAGGCAGACAGACGGACAGACAGAAATTTATTTCAAATAGGTAGGGAAAATGGATGTAATGGGGTTTATTACGGATGTCACTTCACGTCGAAAACTTGTCACTTTTCGTCACGGTGAAGTAGTTCCCATTTGATTTGTACGGCAATCACGGCTCTTATTCTGAGTATCACTTCCTTATCACCGTGTAGTGACACCCGTAATAAGGCCCAATGTCGGCCTAAGTTCCCCTAATTTGGGCCCACATAAATTCAGCAATCGACTACATTTTCAATAGCAACCAAAAATATCAATAAGTTACCGTCCCAATGACGCGTTAATCTAGATAAAATTGATAAATTTTTAACGATGGACCCAATCTTAAATCCATAGGCCCAACATTAGAGCCATTTCCCCTACATAGATTTTTGAAGCGGCATCTGAAAAGTCACAGATAACGATACATTCAAGGTTCGAACTGTGAAAAAAACACTTTTTTAATGGAATGAATAAACTATATTAAAGTGATTTTCAGCCGAAATAAGCTTTAACAATACCCAACAATAATTCGAAAATTACGTTTAATTCAGAAACGCCCTTGTCTTCTGCAAAAATGTAGGCTGCAACTAGTTCTGAAATTAGAAATAGTGAAAAATTTTAATCATAAATCATAGTCCAAATCTCTTTTTCCCTCTCCCGATCCAAACAATTGTCATCCACTAACCTCGAGAAGACCGCGAGTAATCGGTCAAATCCTTTAATTTTAGATTTAAGACTTAATAAAGAGCAGAGAAATTGCTCTAGCATAGTGAAATGAAGAGGTAAACATAAAGTTATACACGCCCAAGTAACAATTCAAGCTGAACAGTTGGTTACAATCCTCGGATTTTCGTCTGTATGAGTTGTTGTTGTTTGGAAAATTCACGTATTTTAATATCAAAGACAGAAGGCAACACGCAGCAGCGAGAGGGTTAGTACCGCTGCAAAAACACTCGAACGCGATACTAAAGGGAGGAAAATCGTAGCCTTAAGCTAAAAATGGAGAATGATCGACAAAAGGCATACGAGTGGCCATCTTCTAAAACAAAAACCTTCTAATGAGCAGAAGTAATCAGGTGTCCGTGTAGACCGGTATCGTAAAGTGCAGTGCCATTTAATGTCCCCCCCCCCCCCCTGTGGGGTTTCTGGGATGTTGGATTGCCTCCGTTCAGGACCTCGTACTGTTAATAAAACGGTCTCACACGGCTCGGCTCGGAAGTCAAGATGGCCTTAATTGCCAAGAAGGGTCCCGTCTCGGCTCGACCAAGGTGGCCATGCCACGGTTAGCCGATGCCGTCAACGAAGGAAGACGCCTGCCAGCTAAACGAGCCAGCAACGTCTGCTGAGCCGTATGTGGCTGATGAACGCCACCAGATCCGCCAAAGCTGCAACAACACTGTAACACAAGTTTCCGACCACAAGGTAGTGCATGAGCAGCCGTGTGGTTTAACGTCAGAATTGCGACGACGGAGGAGATCCCGCTGCAGCAGTGTGAGTACAGTATTAAATTTTCTAAGCCCTCGGATACACGCCACATATTTGTGAAAACCCACAGAACGCCACAGAATAGGGCAATAAATATTATAGAAAATGTGAATGTTCCTTTGTTTTCATACTTTGTCCGCGGAGCCCCTCCGAATACCCAGTAACATGCCGGCCCTGCGACACAGTTGAGGGGTCTCATGCTACTGAGCAAGTTACCCGGGAGTGTTTGGTCATGCCATAGTCACAACAGTAAGAACAGAAGCTGATTATTGGTTGATTTAAGGTGTACAAAGCTGATAACCAGCAGGCTGAATATGTAGTTGATTGGTAGTGCGTGAAGCTAATTGTATCTCCATAATTCAACCTCAATAATTTAGCTGATCTAAAGATTGAACAAGCCTTATTTTAGCTTAACATTACTCCACAAATCAGCAATGCACCACAAATAGCCTGATTTGTTAAATGTAGTCAGTGTCACTCGTTGCATTTCCGGCATTTTAGTTCTTCTGCCTACCTTTCTAATCCCAAGCAGCGGCAACAGTAGAGACAAGGTAGAGGAGCTTTTTAGGAATAGCTCCAGGCAGAAGTGGACTGTGACGACGTCGGAAGCATTAACATTTCTAGATAGAGCTGGAATTAGGGCGTAACAGCCTTTGTAAACAATGACTTCTCTCGATGATTTCTAGGAATTCAAGGCACGCCTACATAAAGCAACATATCCATCGAGTAGGGGAAGTCTTCCCCTACTCGATGGGGATGTCGATTTGCCAGGGAGAGCCATGACTTTCGAGAAATCATCGAGAGAAGACATTGTTTACAAAAGCTGTTTCGCCCTAATTCCAGCTCTATCTAGATTTGTATTTCTGTGTTTTGACTGCTATATTGCACTGAATTTTCAGACAGAATTCGAACAATATAACTCAATTATGGCACTAAAACAGCTTCCACATGACGATCGAAATAAATCGCGCACTTGTGTCCACATTGTGTTAACTGCACTTGAAAATGAGAGGAATGTTTTACTGTCACCAGTTGTTGTTTACAATTCTGCATTGCTGTATAATACTCTTCCGGTTGCTGTTATTCAACTTAAATTTGAAGTGTTTCAAGTTAATGATCATAGCTTTTTCCAAACATATGTTTAAGTGGTTCAATAGGTATTGATTCCTGTGAATCAGCGACTGCCGGTTCGAATCCCGAAATGCAAAGAAAATTTTAAGACTTATAGTAACAATATAAGTACCATAAAAAAGTATAAGATATGAAGCGGTCTTCAATATTTTTTTTTTCTAAATAAAACTAGAAGTCTAAACAAGGGTTGGAAAAGACTGTTGTTTAATGCATTTAATGCTTATAACTTATATAACTGTTAAGCTTTTGGCTGATTAAAATCATCAGATTTAGATGTTTAAAAGCTGAACAAAGGTTAACGTGATTTAAGTACAACAATTATTCAAACTAAGGCTGAATTAAAATCGATTGAACAACACTTGTTAAGCATCAAATTGTTACCTGGGCGTTGCGTCACAACACACTCCAGCCCATTTAAGAGCATCGAAAATGAACAATCAAATTAACTACCATCACTGGCAACGCTGCATCAATCGAGTGACCAGCCGGAATCACCCACCTTAACAACGTGCGTCACTCATACGCACTCAAGCAACCGCGATGTGGCTCTCTTTTTGTTTACACTACATCTCCAAACTGAGCTTGCTGCATGTGTAATAAATTTTCCCCATGTCGATTCAGCCGCGAAGAGCGACTATCGTCTCCCATGTATTAGAAGCGGCAGCGGCGGAAGCGGCGACGGCGCAATATGTGCACTTCTCACACCCGTTCCGCTGTTTTCCGCTTTGCCCTCAGTCTTGTCTAGTGAGGCTCGGGTCGGGACGTGCAGACCGATTCGCGAGAGCGCCTGCCAGCATTCTTCCGTCAACACGCGTTCGGTTCGGACCTTTATCGCGGTTCCTCCGGCTACCAGGGACAGCAGCCCGCCTGGCTCCTAGAGAACATAGAAGAGAGAATTCGTGTTGGAGTTGTGTGCACGTTGTAAAGGAAAACGGAGCGGGACTTATTTTTAGTGCCCATTCACAAGCAGTGCTTTAGAAGGAAGATACAAAATGTTGGGCAACGACTGTGACGTACGCATTTGCTGACTATTTTAGGTGCCTTTTTTTTTAGTGATCGTCGGTTGCCCTAGAAAAGACTTGAACCGATACTAGACAGAGGCAGAAGAGGACAAGTGCGTGTGCAGTTAAGAAAACCGAAACTGACGAACGGGTGCGGTGGCAAAAGTTGTGTGACGGCAAACATTCAAAGCAAGAGTGTGCGCATCTGTGACGGAACGTGAACCAATCGATATTTCGAAAAAATGGGATACGACGAGGTGCTAACGCATCTGGGCGGCTTCGGCCGGTACCAGAAGAAAATCTACGTCCTACTATGCCTGCCGGCAATAAGCTGTGCATTTCATAAGCTGGCCGGCGTGTTTCTGCTGGCGACGCCGGATTACCGGTGCAAATTGCCGTTCGAGGCGGATAATGCCACGTTCGAACTTCCACCGGATGTGCTATCGATGGCCTATCCGATGGAGTCATCCACTGGAAAGTACTCCACGTGCACGTACTTCGATGCAAATTTTACCGACGATTATCTGAACGGAGGAACACCGGCTAAGGAAGTGGTTAGCTGCAATAGTTGGATCTATGATCGATCAAAGTTCGAGAGCAGTGTGGTAACGGATTGGGACATAGTGTGTGACCGGAGTTGGCTCCGAGCGTCGGCGGATTCTCTTTTTATGGTTGGCGTCATGTTGGGCAGTATTGTGTTCGGTTGGCTATCGGACAAGTACGGACGTAAGCCGATATTCTTCGCATCATTGGTGGCCCAATTGATATTTGGAGTGCTGGCCGCAATAGCGCCGGAATTCTTCACCTATACGATAGCGCGAATGTTGGTTGGAGCTACGACCTCCGGTGTCTTCCTGGTGGCCTACGTCATAGCTATGGAAATGGTTGGACCTAGTGATCGTCTGTACGCCGGAGTTGTATGCATGATGTTCTTCTCGGTGGGCTATATGTTGACGTCGGTATTCGCTTACTTCATCAACGACTGGCGTGCGCTGCAGATTGCCCTGACGTTGCCGGGAATTCTGTTCCTCAGCTATTGGTGGTTCATTCCGGAGTCTTCGCGATGGCTCATCTCCAACAATCGCCCATCGGAAGCTATCGCTCTGATAAAGAAGGTTGCCAAATCGAACAGGGTTACCGTCCCGGAAGATGTGCTGGATAAACTGGTCGAAGAGGACAAAGCCGCTCTGGAAACGGACAAGAATGAACCCAAACCTTCACTGATCGATATCTTCAAGCACCCAAATCTACGACAGAAAGCCCTGTTGATCTTCTTCGATTGGTTCGTCAATAGCGGAACCTACTATGGGCTGTCCTGGAACACCAACAATCTCGGTGGTAACCAATTGTTAAACTTTGTCATCAGTGGAGCCGTGGAAATTCCTGCCTATACGTTCCTGTTGTTTACCCTGAATCGCTGGGGTCGCCGCACTATCCTGTGCGGTTGTATGATCTTCGCCGGTGTAATGCTGCTATCTACGATGTTCGTCCCGAGTGATCTACCCGTGCTGATCATAGTGCTTGCCATGCTCGGCAAACTAGCCATCACTTCCAGCTACGGCACGGTGTACGTCTTCTCCGCCGAACAGTTCCCCACCGTCATCCGGAACGTGGCCCTTGGAGCTGCGTCGACTTCGGCCCGTGTAGGTGGCATCCTTGCTCCGTACTTCAATCTTCTGGGAGACTACTGGACGCCGCTTCCTCTGTTGATCTTCGGTGCGATGTCATTTACCGGTGGTCTTCTATCGCTGCTCTTACCGGAGACACATAACCAAAAGCTGCCGGAAACGATTGCCGATGGGGAAAACTTTGGCAAGGTGAAAGTCGTGCCCGGCGAAGACAGCCGTCGGGATGTGGAGAACAAGACTGCCGAAGAGATGCAGGTGCTGAATGCGGCCACCCTTAATGGGGACCTTCCGCACTCGACGCTGGTGAAGCGTGCTAATGAGAAACAAATCCCGGAGGCGGAGGAGGAGGAATACGATGAGAAGTAACGAGTGTGTTAGAATGACGAGTATTACGTATCTCTTAGTAACTGATATGTGTGTGTCTGTCTGTGTATTAGGAAGATAGTTAGGTGTAGATTATTTATGTAAACTAAAATTCAATCAAACGACGATCAGATCGCCCCTGTTGAGTGAAGGCATGAAGCTCCGAGTATTTGATTTCCCATAAATCTCAATCGAAGGAATCTGTCTGAACGACTGGACCGGGGAGAAGGCGGGAAGAGGAGAGGGGAATTGAGTTTCCCCTTTTCTTGTAGTTTTGATTGGTTGCCAAGCATATCGTACGATGCTGCTCGGCTGCCATCATCTGATGCCAAATGATGGTAGTTGCGAGCGAGCAAGTCAGCAAACATGCGCTCGGTCGGTCGGTTAGTGACGTTGTTGGAATAATAGGTGAGGAGGAAAATATGGAACTGAGAAGAGAAGAGTGACCACCGGCCTTCTTTTGAATTGTTGCTGCATTCTGGCACGATAATTGTACCACCGAGGAAAAGCACGAGTTTTCGCGTTTCTCTTTCGCCGGTTGTTGTGCGGAAATTGGGCTGAGTAATTACTGGGTGTGTGTGTGTGTGTGTGGCTGCACCTGGGAAAGAGGGAATCGCTGCAAGTTTGAGGCAAGATGAGAAAAATGATGGTTTCATGCCATACGCTTACCGAAATCATGCAAAATGTGTAATGAACCAAGGTTAATACAGATTCTATGATCTACGAAACCGGTTTCATCAGAAATACAAGAAGCCTAGTCGGAACTAGTCGAAAATGTATGATCAATCATTTTCGGAAATAACCAAAGATTTAGTCAGTCGAGTTGATCGAGAAAACTGAATTCAGAGTGGTAGTTGACTCGTTAAAAATTTACCCGTTTTTGGAATGTGTTCCAATTTTTACGAAATCTTTTGAGTTATTTCGAAGAAGACTGGCAACTCTGGCAAACTCCAAGCAGCGCTGTGTTTCAAGTGGCAACCACCGAAATTTGTATAGGGCTCAGATCTAATTTTGGGCCTACTAAGCACAACCCGCCCTTTACCTCTATTTTTCAAGTGGATTTTTTCCACAAAATTGAATGTTTCACTGCAGATGACTTGAAAATTGATTTATCTTTCCGAACGTACCTTAAGATTTGATAAAGAGAATCAAATGTTTGAGATATTGTTAAAAATCTAACACTGCTTCTTGGATTCTAAATTCAGTCTAACGCGTTAAAACGTCATTGAATCGCTATTGAATTCACTTCGGCCTATCGGAAGAAGATACAAATTGATTCGTTCGGGCGCTTCTTTTGTTTTTGAGAATAAGGGGTGCAAACATTCATATCACGCGTTTTTATTGACTTCGTTCGGTATCTTTTGAACTAAAGAATCGTACCAAAGGTGTTAACGCCGAAATCATGGATTTATTCGATGTTTTCTACTCGACCGAAGTAGGTTTCTAACCTATTCAAAAATATTAAAGTATCTCGGAATAGATTTTTTTCTGACGGCAGGCAATAACCATTTTGATTATTTAAAAAAATCGGTAGAAAATAATAAAATTCTGTATTCTGATGAGACTTATTTGTATATCGGTATCATGTTCTAAAATCGGAACGAATTTCGAAAAATCGGTATATCTGGCAACACTGCCCTGCTTAAATAGTCGTTCATGCAAAACAAATAAAAATTTGCCAGTCAACCGCCCGCCCCCTCCCTCCTAAGCTGTCTACGTGGTTTATGGACAGCCCCTTACTCAAGATTCAGGATCTTATAAAAATTTCAAAATCCTGAACATTAGGTGGAGGGGAGGGGGTATTCTCCTATCCTTGCCACATCTGGGACTCACCAAGTAAAAACGTGGCGGTGCAGAAATTTGAATATCTTTCAATTTTGTTGGACTTTTTCTAAAATCATCTGGCAGCCCTGATTACAGTAGCAGAGACCGTTCGTTATCAATCGCCATTTGGGAAGACAAACAATCATTGAACTACCGATCGCTTATCGCGTGACTTCAAAGAATATGTTTTAAGCTTATATTACCAGCAAACAAAGCACACCACTACCGGGCGGGGATACGATTCTCAAGGTGAATTAATAATAGCACGCAAAATAAGTTACTTTAGTGCCCGAAAATTTGTCCAAAGAAGAAGGTGTAGAAGATACAACATCTTACGATTAAAGGGCCATGCATGCATATTTGGAAGGCCATTATTCCCTTAATACCACCTGTGGTGGAATCACACCACGGTCGCCGAATCGTTTCTCGGAACTGGTCAATTTCAGCGCAAGGAAAAACGAACGTCAAGAGCTCTATAATCATAAATTATGATGAGCGTGTTGTCAACGTTCATTAAAGGAGCGACCCCCAGGTGCTGCGCATGTCCATAAATTTACGAAACGCAAAGAGAAGATGCACTTTTTGCTCTTCCCGAACGAAATTGCTGCTCTTTTCAGCGGATGAATTCTCAAGAAAGGTCGCACTTCCCCTCGCCTTCGCCTTATCTCCTGCTGAGTGCCGTATGACAGACAGCCCCACGTGGTAGCCGCTCTGCTACTGAAATGTTATGGCATGCACGAAAACAACGAAATTAAGAAGAAGAAAGCACGTTTTTTTTTGTTTCACCTATTTTTGGCCTTTATAAAACCCAAAAATGTGCGCGAGAGAGCACTTACAAATGTCGTAATAGAATTTGGCTAATCGGATTCGTTCTGAATCAACCGATGCCTGCTTTACTCGCCGCTCAACCTGAGCGCCATATTGTTATATACCAAGAGCGAGAGAAAGAGTTTTGAGTGCGGATGGACTCCATCGTCTTGATATTACTTTGCGCGCCTACTACGACCAACTCAAATGTCATGCATTCCAATTAGTGCTTTAAGTGATTGTTTTTATTAGCTCGTAATGGTCGTAATGGGCGTTTGGAGAAATCAGGCCACCACTTACTGGCTGCGTACGTCTTGACTGATACTGTGAAGTAGACGTAGGTCAATACACTCGCTGGTCGAGCATATCGGGTTGATTGTTTTGATCGATCCGCAGCGCTTATCACCGGTATTGTCAAACGTCACAATACTACGCTTGATTAAAGTAGGCGTGGATGAGTTTGTTGCCTAGCAAACGATACGGAGACCGCGTTACGGTCATTTTGAATACTCAAACTGAGCTCTCGCCTTCACTCTATATCACGATCGATGTCTAAGTCTCAAAAGATGAAGCAACACAGTACTTAGATTATAAAGCTAACGCAGAAACATGGAATGCTGTATATGTACTTCAGGGCGTCAACACCGCAGACATCACTATCAAATTCGGGCATGATATTTGAAATCAAGTGCTGATAAGTGTAAAGTCATGCCAGTATGGCTAGACGATAATAATAAATCAAAGGAACAGAAGGAACCAAATCAAAGGCCAATCCAGCTCCATACAATCTTACTTGTCAACAGTCGCAGCAATCGAAAAACTTAATTTTTTGTAAGGCCGTAAACCTTGTACGAGTAAATCATCAGTATCAACCACATCATGTAATTGTAATGCCCTAAAAAGCAGAAAAGCACTAATTTCAATAGCCGTTAAATATTGTAACGTACTTCTCTTATATACTAAACAAAGTAGGTAACACTGAGCAGCGGGAAAAAACCTTCGCTTTCAGACATGTTTTGCTGAAATCAGTAGAAATAAAACAAATTTTCTGTAGAACTATTGGATATTCGGTTTACTCATTTATTCCTATCACAGCAATTCCCAATTGTATACTTTTTCCATATAGGACGGATATGCGATTATAGGGAGTCGAAAATCGATGTTCGCCGCCATTTTGAAATCCAAGACGGCGTCGATTGGTTTCATAAAAACTGTCAAATACCTTACAATATGGGTATTTTTAAAACTGGGACGACGTGTATAGGCCTTAAATCGATGTTCGCCGCCATTTTGGAATCGAAGAAAAAAAACTGTAAAATAAACTAATCAAAATGACGGCGAACATCGCTTTTCGACATCTACGCGTCATTCCAGTTCCAAACATATCCATTATTTTGCAGGTACAGTTTTTTTTTCTAAAACCAATGGCCGCCGTATTGGATTTCAAAATGGAAGCAGACATACATTTTCTACATCTACATGTCATCCCTGTTCCGAAAATACCCTTATTGCAGAGTATTTGGCATTTTTTTTCCCTGAAATCCATGGCCATCACAAGGGGTGGTGAATAATGGCATGCTTGGCAACCCGGTATTTTGACAGTGTCAATGTTTTGTTTTGAAGAAAGAAAAAAAATCTCAAGTAGTGGCATTGGTTTGTGAGAACAAAAGTAGTGGAATCTGAACCAAGACGGTGATCCAGAGGCACCTTTGTGGGAGAAGCTAATACAAGATAAACTTATTCGATCGGAAGATCCCCTCGTGCTGGCGATAAAGTTTCACCGACTGCTGCAGATACTCGGAAAAAACAGCATTGAAACGCATCTGATGGAATTCGAATTTTACAGCCGCCGGGGAAATTGTTGATGTTGGAGCCATTGGAACTCACTCACGCTATCGGGCACGGGAGAAGCTCGTCCGGGATCGAAATTGGTTGCGAAGATCAACGATGGTGAACCAGGACAAGACAGATGCACTCAGAGTTGCGACCTATCACAATCACGATCGCCAAACAGCTGATGGTAGTAACGCTTTGTACATTCCTATCAATGTGCTCGTCGAAGCTCTCTCCATGACCATCCATCAAGTTGACGAAAGAAGTAAAAAGCAACTGGTGAATGTCGTCTTCTGTTGTGATCCATCACCGATCTGGTCATTCCTGACAATCACGACACTCATCTGTGCTCGTTTTGAAGCAGTTGCTGCTTTGCTTGTTGGTAAGTGAGCCCAACAGCTTCCGTTTCATGTTGCCTGCTTTGTTTGAAACTCACACAGTCGCGCCTACCGAGACGAACTTGGAATGTGTAGGCATTGTTTTCATTTTATTCTGTCGTTTCGCTTTTTCTCATGATCGTACTGCAGAAGTCTTCACTGTTTTCGTTGTGCTTTTCATCATCCATTACTGGTGATTGTTGTTTGCCATGGCTCTAACTCTCACTGCGTGACAAAACGATCTGCCAGCGATAGTCGGTTGATGCGAAGACGAGTGTCACGTGAGTGTCATGATATTTTGCATCGCTGGATACACTGTTCGAGGTGGTCAATTAAATGGGAGGAAGCGGTAAAGTTGGCTTATAAATGATCAGACGGATAATAAAAGCTCGGCTACATGACAAACAGCTCGGAACATCCTAGTCCTGGTCCTGATAGCCAGAATATTTTGGTTTTATTATTGACCTTCCGGGAATGAGTTCGTAGTCACCTGTTCTTGATCATTTGAGCGATTGCCCTGGTTTTGGTATGCGCGGCGGTCGGAATGTGTGAACGCTGGCTGAATATTTTGTGGAAAGGCATTGCGATGTGTGCTGATCCATGGCCATGATGGGGACTTCTCTTGCCTCTCTGCATACACACGTCTCGACGG